GGGGGGGGGGTACTCCCATATATGGACTATACGGGGATGATCCGCTGAACAGGGTATGGTTTTTCGAGCTTCTTTTCATAAACAGGGTATGCAATTTCACTCAAGTTCCAAGTTCCAAGTGACCAAAACTGGTTATTATGGTCGTCAAAAACAATACGCAAGATGACATGATAATTGAAATAGGAACTCAGTGCAATAAATTATATCTTTTCTCATAAACAGGGTCTACAAATTTGAGTTTTTTTGTCATAAACAGGGTACCCCTTTCAGAATCCCAGCGGTACACCAAAAATTCTGGCAAAGTACCACTCCCCCCCCCCCCCTCTGGGGATCGGGCAACTTGTGCCATAACAGCCTTGGTCCAAATTGCCGACCCACTGGAGCTTGATTAGCTGTTTGTTTATTAGCACCATCTCATGTTATTACTGTGTGTCATTCTCATTATTATGTGCTTGGCCAACAATAAAATTAAACTGTATATTGTGTAGTTCTAGAAATTATCCATACCCACCCCACAAAGGAATTTGAAATTTTCAAAGAGTGGGTGGAGGGGGGGGTCAGAGAAAGAACAAAAATTACAGAGTTTGTATGGAAGAAAATTGGAATTTCCAGGGGGTAGGGGTGTGTCTACCCTTCCTCCATGAGGGGGGTATGGATAATTTTTGGAACTACACATTCTTGGTTTTTTATTGAAGCTGAAATCTGAGACCAAGTATAACTCTGGGGGACTGAGTGTTTTCTCATTAAAAATTAAAAATACACTTAGCCAGACAATTCACCAGTGCACTGAGGTCATTGCTCAAAGTTGGCATATTTAAGATATTAGCCTGTTGTGAACTACTAATATTAAAACCACTAAAAAATTCACAGCTTAAAACCCACAATTTATTTTTGTGTTGGATTTTGAATCTCCCACTGACAATGCTTTTTGAAATATATACTACTAGCTATAACAAGGAGATTTAATTGGCATATGCCAGAATATCTCATGCCCATTATTTGTATTTTCTAAAAAATGCGAGCCTTTAGCCAAAAATAGGTTTATCACAGCGTAAGGAATTTAAGAAAAGCGGGGAAAAAAATATAATTGACAAAAATGGTATTCCATGATTAGATTTCCAATGGTAATCAAATGATGAGAAATTAAGCATCATATAACTATTCTATTTTTTCAGCATTGAAAAGCCTAAGCCACAATGCCTTGTGGGAAGGAACGCTGGAATACAGCTTTCCTGCAGCATTCTGATTGGCTGTATTTTCATTTTGGCGTGTTATGACTTGTTTTATATTGCTTACAACAACATGCAGCCAACCATTTAATGAATAAACAAAAATGTGAGTAATAGAGGCAGTAGGAATATGACTCTTACAGCATAAATCTGATTTGAGTCACTACAATCCTTCAGCTTTGGAAAGTATTCTTTAAATGAGCTTTCAATACTCCCCCATTCTCTGTTCCAGCCACATGAATGAGCGGTCAAGTTGTTTTGGGAAATTGCTCCTGTAGAATAAAATAAAATGTCAAGAACAGCTGAAGTATAGTTTATAATGAATGAAAATGATCATTTGAATTGGAGAAATGCCTGGGGTCAGACAACTTTGGAATTAGAGGAACCTCCATGATTAACCAAAATAAAAGGGTGCTACGGACCCTGTGGCAGATTTAGGGGGGTTCATTGGGTGCAAATGAACCCCCCCACCAGCTGGTATCTTGAATTTTATATATATTTTTAAATAAATAAATAAAAGTATGGTAGGTCTGCTTTTTGAAAATTAGCACCTTCGCCCACAATAATCGGGCCTGGACTGGTGGATAGGTTATCATTATCAGGAGCGCCCCTAGGACAGTAACTTGCCTCATGGGAAAAATGATGATGCAAGAGAACGTTATTGTTGTGCCAAGATTTGCAAAAATGAACCCCCCCTCTTAAAGTCCTGGATCCGCCACTGGGACCCTTGGACCAGATAACCCCTAAATCCACCAATCATGGCAATAATTAATTTTCATGTCAATGTAATGATATGTATATTCATGTCATAAATCATAAATGTACACAGCCATAGCCACCAGTGGGGTTAGTCCACTCTTAACCGCACCACTTTTTGCCTTCAGAACTATTTTCCCCCCCTCGTAAAATAATTTATTACACAAGTAAATAAAAAAAAACAACCTTCTTAGAAAACTGAACAACTGTCTTAGTGGTGGCTATAGCCTTGATGTGAACTATCCATGCACGAGGAAAAGGCAGAGCTAGACAATGACCACTCCTTAAACACAGTTATATAATCATTTATTCCTAATTTTTTCTAATATGATGTTTAAAGTATACCTGCAATGACATATTTCTTTCGCAGGATCAAGGTAATCCCACAAGCAGGGCCATAATAACTTGTGTACAGATCCACATATGAAGTATTTTGATCCTTTGATATGTTCTTGATTCTCTCCGAACCTTTGAATATCTCCTTGACTTGAACAGTGTAGACCCTCTTATGATTCTCTACACTGGCATTACTCCCTATGATTGTCTCCTTTATAACCTCTCCATGCAACACTAAATATATATAAGAAACATTTAAAAATCTTTAAAACAATGCACAGGAGAAGAGTGGGTCTACAAAGAATATGATGTTGATGACAGCTAGGGACAGTTGATCATAGGTAGGGACAGTTGATGACAGCTAGGGACAGTTGAAAATAGCTAGGGATAGTTGAAAATAGCTAGGGATAGTTGATCATAGCTAGTGACAGTTGATCATAGCTAGTGACAGTTGATCATAGGTAGGAACAGTTGATCATAGGTAGGGACGGTTGATCATAGCTAGGAACAGGTAATCATAGTAAGGGAGAGGTGAGGTATAAGTGTGGAATACTTCTATGGGAGACTATACGTATGGGCGACTATATGACATTCTACCATGAAGTACATGCCTTCCAAGGAAAACAAACACTCGATCGATCGATAAAAGTCAATAAAATACACAAACTGGACGACAAACTCGATGGAGATTCAATGTTTTGGCTGGTTTCAGGTGGTTTCAAGATGGTTTCAGGTCGTTTCAGGTCGTTTTAAGTGGTTTCAGGTCGTTTTAAGTGGCTTCAGGTCGTTCCTTGTTTTAGTGTATAGCTACCACAAATTTGCACAAATATTAGTAAGTTCAGTAGACCGTAGTGCACTCCAATAAATCGTGCAAAATCTTTTGCTTTTTTAATATCGTTTCAATAGTACTATTTAGCACTAATTATCTGTATTTTTTCACGGATTTTTGTTTTGATTTTAAGTGTATAATTTCTAGTATAAGTATAGCGACTGAAAATAGTTAATTTAAATACTCACCATAATCGAAATCACATAAGAATTCAGGTGTTTTTCGACCACTAACGTCACATGTGCAACCACGACTTGACGGGATAAGTGTTAAAAGGACTAAGAACGAGAAATAGATAAGCAATCTTTCATAAAACATCATCATATTTAGAGGATTATTTAGAATCGTCGATGACGATTATTGCTTGGGTGTTTCATAGCTTTCCTGTTGCTTTCCTGTGGTGTTATTTATAATTCTCAGTCTCTCTCCGATATTTGAAGCACAGGAATACCAAATGACAGCATAATGTTATGTCTTTCCAAGGGCACTAGGGCAAAAATTGGTGTTTTTTTAGCCTTTAGACTCCGTTATATTGGTGTTTTTTTAGCCGTTAGAAACTGTTTAAACTGTTACTCATCTGTTCTGTTATGTGCTGGCTTGATTTTTTTAGTTTTCCCGTCTATATACGCCAAAAATACTGCTGTGACCAACGGTCCAATCGTACGTAACGAACTACTGTATCCTATACCTGTCTCGTGACCGCTTACGCAAGCGTACGCGTCGGTTAATAAGTTAATAAGTTAATCCAAATCCCCTATGTACCAATATAACGGAGTCTAAAGGCTAAAAAAACACCAATTTTTGCCCTAGCGCCCTTGCACTGACCAAGGCAGTTGTGATTTTTTTTATCGCCTTCGTATATGTAGCGTCTGTCATGTTTTAACAGCAAGTACATTTTAGATCGACCACGTGATGCCAATGTTGTACCACGTGGAAAAGTTCATTGCAATTTCATCTCAATATAGCCATAACTGGCACAAGCACGAATCTCTAGCACAAAGCATGATGGGAAACCGAGTACTTACGCTTTTTCAGCTCCTCTAAAAATCCCTCTGGCAATCCTTCCTTCAAAAACTTTTTGAAACTGTAAGTATTTCGACAGACAAAAATAACAGAGTAATTTATCTTCTGATAATTCTATTGATTTCCTTGTCCTGATTTGTGTAGTAGATTCGTGCTCGTGCACATTGCCTATTACATTTCAAATTGCCCATGTGATGTAAATTTCGTACCACGTAGACAAGTTCTTTACACCATGTGATAAAAAACTTGACTGCACTTTGGTTAAGTGGTGTAAAGAACTTGTCCAAAATTCTTTCATTCATCCCATCTACCAGTCCGTCCTTTCTTTCTTCCTTCTTTCCTTCCTTAATCCATTCATTCATTCATTCATTCATTCATCTCATTTGAAAGTTGAAATCCTGCATGAATATACCCATGAACGCATTCTTGATGCTCCTATACCCCTCATGACGTCATCCTTTATGATCTGATGGTCAGAAATACTTAGCTTATGAAAACAATAAACTAAAAGTGTGCACTTTTCGTGGTTTTTTTATCCTAAACTCTCAAACTTCTCAAGTGTTGATTTCCTTGCCATAAAACCACAGCCAAATAGTGCGGTTCTAATGGTTCTCATTACTGAAGGAATATATTGAGATTGTTTCACGAGCAATAATGATGAAAAAGTCTTAAGAGAGTATATACATAGCCACTGTTTGTCTGCTTGCAGACTTTAGGGTTGCCCTTCTTTCTATTAACCTGACTTTGCGGCTTTGTAGAAACATTTTCCAAAGGGTTTTTCTACTTCTTTCCTTTCGTTTTTTATAAACTTCCGTATCATTTCTACTTTTGTTCGGTACGTGTAGAAAATTCAGAAAATTCAGAAAATACAGAATCCAGGAATTTTTGCGCTATCGATTCTTCTTCAGTATAACATGTTCAGCGAAGGGACAACTTGCATAAAGTAAGCCTGGGTTTCGTCAAGCTGTCTGATTTACTAACTGAAGATCTCTTACTTCAACCCTACAAAATAATTTGATATCATTGACATGCAAGAAAAAAAACAAAAACAAAACAAAAACAAAACAAACCAAAAAACATAAAAACAAAAAAAATGAAAAAACAAAAAAACAAAAACGAAAAGACAAAACAAAACAAAACAAACAAACAAACAAACAAACAAACAAACAAACAAAAAAACCAGCAAAAAACAAAAAACAAAAAACCAACAACAACCAAATAACTAGCTGCCTGAGTTATAAGCCATGGTTAGATTTTCTTAGTTGATTGTAACAATAAAATCATATCGAATATAAAACACACCAAAATAGCYGTTGTATCATTTGACAGTGTTGTCCAGGACCACAAAAGAGGCGCGCGCTTAGCTTCACTGGCGTTTTTCCTCTACGATCGCTTCATATTCTTTGAACAGTATCCACTGATAGCCGGGCCGACGACGAAAACACGTATGGAAATCAGCGGATGCACTAATAATTCAGATGAGCGGTTGATTTGCTATTTATATGTACCATTTAAATTTTCATGTTTTCAAAAATGCCAAAAAACCCAAATTTCGGTAACGCTTGAAAATCTAAAATTCTAGCTCTCAAATGGCGAAGCACTACGCTAGCGGCCTTGGCCATGTCTTTCTTGTACGTCGACAAAGTTATATTCCTACATATTTTTCCATTCACGAATTTCAATTGGTTCAAAACACAAGCGATTCGGAATTTTTATCGGAAACACCTGCGTCGGTAGAAGACAACACTGAGTATGACTTTGAAGATTATGCAGCGCGGCTGCTCCCAGACCAGGGGACTTTGAAATCACAACTGAGTACATCGAGTGAATACAGCCTTTCTTGGCTCCAAAATCTTGCTGAATTAGAAACTCAGTCTGCGACTCCAACGACAAGGCTCCGAAGCTCTGGTTTAGCGAAGCTATTTTCATGTAATGTTAGTAAGATGTCGTACGAAACTAAATCCAAGTTGGAATGTGATGGTTACTTTGGATGCCCGGAGGAAAAACATCTCGCCAAAGAAAATGGTAAGTTGTCGAATCATTTACTTTATTTGCACACGATAAACCCTATGATACTCTGTCAGATATTTATTTATTCATTTCTTAGCTATAATAACGATTTATAGAAGTAATTAAAACAAATCGAAGCAAGACTGTTTTATACGAATGTATAAAATGCGATATAGTTGAGGATCAGAAGCTCAGAAAAACAATGCGCCAGCAGAGACAAGACTCATTAATAAAACATTAGCATCGGTTGCTCCCATACATCAATTATGTACTTCGAACACTAAGCTTTTTTGCTTTACTGATTGTAATTTCTGTTTATGTTTTCAACTTGAATGTTTTCGCGTTGAAAAATGATAAACATTTTCAATATTTGAGATAATATCCCAACTGCTTCATAACAATATACCGAAAAATCTAAAAATATTTTTCAATTCCTACGATTCAAGAAGTAAATGTTTGAGTGAATCTGAATGATAAAATCAAGAAAATGTTTACCATATCGAATCGGCTGAGAAAATCAGATTGATAAATGTGACCTTTGAAAATAAAATTTATAAAAAACGATCCATAAATGATGTAAAAAACAGTTTTCGTTTCAATGTTTGTACTGACCAAATGTCAGTTAGATATTGGATGTTAAAAAAGATAGGTTCTGACTAAAAATGATGGTCAAAATTTAAATCCTTGTTTTTTCTTTGTCCATGTATAAACAGGTATTCGTTTTTTGATACTGTACGATGTCATGTCAATTTAATGGCTAAGTTATGAATAACTGCAAGCATGCAGCTATACAACCTTGGCCTTACTACATGAACTAGTACATTCACTATTGACCTTAGTGGTCAGAATGTTCTGGCGTCTTACTGTAAAAAAATATGCAGTCTATCATCAATGATTTCTTCGTTTTAAAAGGAATTCGTACGTAGGCATTAGAATCGATTTTTTCACTTCCTCGTCGTAATAGCACTCCATTAAGGCAAAGACATTAAGATCTTATGTTGCGCTTTTTATGATGTTTATTTTGATATCGATGCGTCAAGTCCAGAAACCAACACTTTAACGATGTTATTTACTCGTTTTCTGCCTGCGCTTTAAAAAAAAAAAACTTTTTGATCCAAAGTGCGACATATCTAAAAGAAAAATAAGATATTCTGAGACGATGTAGGATTATTTCTAGATTAATCTGATGTACATCATATAGGATCTTTGTGATGTGCGCATGCTCACAACTGAAAAGTAAAAATATTTCAAAATTAAATCATATTATCATATACTTTTCAAATAAATTTCTAATGATATAATGTGCGCATGCTCACCAGAAAAGAAATATTTCGATCCATGTGGGATTTTCCTGCCTACGGTGTGCATTTGAATGCGTGGTGTATACTAGAACATACAAGTGACTCGTACATTTATGGTATACAGTTGAAAACCCGGGGGGGGGGGGGGGGG